CGGGTGCCAGGCACAACCCTGATCATATGCCCAGTCAAGAGGCGGAATGGAACTACTGACCAAATCAGCGAGGGCCAAAATTACAAGCTCTTCATTGTTCCCCGCCTTTGAAACTATCATCCTCAGTTAATTCGATTGGTTGGCAACTGAAAGTACCATCATATAGAGCCGCCGTTATATACACACCACCATACTATGGATATCTAAGGCTGCCCACATGGATGTCGTCCTGGGGACCGACGAATACGTGATCACCCACGGTGCCAGCAAGTTCATCAAACCCGAGAAGGTTGCGGAATTGAAGAGGAAAGGGAACCCAGGTGGGAGCATAGCCAGTCAACATGTAGAACTTGGCGTTCAAATTGAACAGTTCCATATGGTTCCAGTCTTTGTTTTTTCTCAATTTGAATGAAATTGAATTGTGATTCTTCCACACTCCCTTCCTTGGATCAAGCGAAGAACGTGCCCAAGTTGTTCATATCAGGGGGGTTACCAGCCTGCTGTTCCCAACTCATGCCAGCGTCTTTGGCCGATCTACTTGCCCAGCATGGCTTTGATCAGGACAGTTGCTCTCAAAGGGTGATATAATAAGATTCCTGTGCTCCACTGATGTCATAGATTGTCATCAAAGCCATATGAGCCCCCGTTCAACCATGAAGAAATGACCAGTTGCTTCCAGGACTTTTCTGGCTTAGCCAAAGAGGATGCCGGAGCTACTCAGACCCCACCGACAAAAACTGCCAGAAACTAAGTTTCTTTCATTTTCCACCGTGTCAATCAAGGGTTCTTGTTGTTTGCCAGGCTCTTGCGTCTCCACCACCAGGGACCACACCCACTCCGGTGAGTCCCGCCGTGGGGGAGGCCTGAACATCCAAAAACAACAACATCTTCTTACTACACGCTGGGTTGTCACTCTTAGTTGCAACAAGTAGTCCTTGGCACCTTCTTGTTTCCAGGTACCTACTGAACAAGTGAAGCCAAAGAGGTTGCAAATGGAGGTTGCAGAGGTGAAAGATAGCCCAAAGCTTCCTATGGCTACCAGGGAATCCACCCAGGAGACCAACCCGAACTTAGATGCTGGAAGCATCAAGAAGCTTGAGGACGAGATCCGTGAGGCAGAAGTATCAGCAAAACAAGAAAAAAAGGAGTCAAAGCCGGCAAAGGAAACATCAAAGGGTTCAAAGAAGACTGATCAAAACGAAGCATCAAAAGTTGTCACCGAGAAAGGCACGAGGAAGATTCCAAAAAATCAAAAAAGTGCAAAAAACGCACCAAATGATGAGGAATGCTCTTTGGACTCAGAGGAGCCGCTCTCGGAAGAGTACACTGACCTCGAGCCCTGTAGTGAAGATGAGAAGGAGGAAAAGACAAAGCCAGGGAAGAAGGCCGGGAAAGTCCAGGAGTCAGCCAAGCCAAAAGGCAATGGCGATGGAGAGATTGGAAATCCAGAAGCAAAGGGTAAAAGAAATGACAATGAGCTCAAGAAGGCAGCGGCAAAACCTGCGAGCCAAAAGGGGACAAGTCAGAAGCAGAGCAAAGAAAACAATAAAGAAGAAGAAGAAGAAGATGCTGTCACAAAGAAGCCAAGCAGGGTTGCAAAGGCGAAGACAAACTCTGAGGACGCTGGCAGCAAGAAGAACCAAGAAACTGCTGTCACAGAGGAGAAGCCAAGC